AAATGTTTTTATAAACTATTGATATAAATAATATTTTATGGATGACTTTTAGATTATTGTTATCTATTTATTTTCAAGTTTTTTAAAGTTTTTTTAGTGAAAGATATCAACAGAAAGACATATGAGACATGACAACACAAACAATGACAACAACAAATATAATTGTTATTTAAAGGAGAAGAATTTAATTCATAACTTTTTAAGGTCTTTTTAAAACATTTTTTACAGTATGTGAACTTTTTAACTTCCTGTATTATTCCGAACTGCATCCATCATCTAATTTATATGTTTTTATAATCAAACATTTAATCTGCTGGCTCTCTTTAGCCTCCGTACATTCTTCTATCAGCAAACATCTTCAGACGAGTCCTGACTGTAAAATGAGCTTTAATTTAATATCAGAAATTAGTTTTTTATTTAAATCTATTTGGGAAATTCTTCTTTCTTGTTGATCAGCTGATTCAGTTGAAGAGTCACTTCACTTTAAGAGTAATAATCTTTAATTAAACCTCAGCAACCAAATCCTTCATCTGTGTGGTGGAGGCTTTTAAAAGATTTAGCCAGATATTTTATTTCCAACCAAACTCCTGTTCCTTCTTCCTCACCCATCCTCTCCCACGCTGCCTCCCTCCCCTCAATCTCTCTGCCTCTCACCCTGATGAAGAGCTGGAGACGACGACAGAGACGGCAGTACGACACGTTCCCTCGCCGAGCAATAAATCTCTCAGCTGTGTAACGCGATCCGGGCGCAGTGATACCTGCTCCGACTGAAACACGGACCTGTTGTCTGAGACGAGGATGACAACGGGAATAATTGGCCGGGACGGAGGAGGGTCGGGATGCAGGAGGCTGTTTGTGTTGGAGGCTGAATCACTGAGGAATAAAAGACTCAACAACATTTCGTCTGATTCACACTCCGCATGAAGCCGCTGCACGAGGAACAACAACACACTTTATTCTCAATCAGTGAAGTACTCCATTACAAGCAGAAGTCCTGCTTTTAAAAATCCCACTTTAGCAGTTTAACATGTTTGAGCTGTGAACTGAATTAAAGAACTGATGAACAGTGGACAGTCTGAGTGAATGTGCTTCTAGTGACTGTAAACGCTCCGAATCCTTAAAAACTCTCCTCCTACCTCATTAAAAGTTACAGAATCTATCAATAAGTAAGATGTCTCCTCCTCCAACCTCAGTGTCACTGCTGGATCTGGACCGGGATTTACGTCATGAAGTATTTGTGATGTCACAAATCATGCTCATAGGCCCCGCCCCTTAAAGATTTCCAACGAGCTCAGAGAAACTTTCCTCTCTCAGCAGATGAAGGTGAAAACATCCTTCTAGAGCAGCGATTGGCTCTCAGCGGCTTCCACAAACATTATATGGAAATGAATAAAGCTTATTTACGTTTTCATTTGTTATTGTTGTAACCTTAAAGTGATTCTTTAAGTGTAGTTTAAAAGAACATTTTAATTTTGAGCCTTTAGGATCGATATTGTTCCTCTATTTAACAAGTTATGATAAAAAACTTTTTATTAAAAACTCAGTTTTTTGCAACTTTTAGCAACTGAACGGGGCTCAGCAGCCTGCCAGTGAACACAACCTCAGAGACAGACAGAAGACAGTTTGACGACAGCCGTACCGAGGTGATTTATGGGAGTTTCCAGATAAAATGTTGCTAAAAGAAGCTAACTGTAACGTTAAATGCTGTTAGCTTGTTTAGCTATATAAAACCACCTCAGTCCTTTATTCCCTCCGTCAGCATCAGATGCTGTATTCAGTCCGTTTATGCATAAACAGTGTATAGTGAAAACCTGTCAATGACAGTAAAAGACTGTAAACAGTAAAACTCTGTGATATCTGATGGAAAAACCTTTATTTATACGACATTTTAAAGGAATTTATACAATAAAGTCGTTTTTTATATTACAGACTGTAAACTGCACAGCACACCACCGTCAGGGCATCATAACTGTCTCTTTTAATGGTAAAAACTTGTATTTAAACAGTAAAATGTGGATTAAAACTCAACAGTATTAACACCATTTTCCTGTAATAGTAGAAAAAGTTCTACTGTATTATTACGGTGAAGTTCTGGCAACCACAGCTGACAGTTGTTGACTGTATAAATAACTTTACAGAGTATTTTTGTGAAGAGGAATTTTCCTTCGTTGGGTTACAAATAAATGAACCTTGAACCTCAAACACTGATTCTGGCTTTAAACTCAGTATTTTCATCCTGTTGTTGTTTGTTTTCTAACAACGGAGCCGCGGCGCTCTCCTGGAACACGCCGGTATACAACATTTATAACACATTAATAATTCATCAATAACACTCTGACCTCTCGCTGAACTCTCACGGTAAAGTTCTGCTCCGACACGAACCGACGCTGCAGCCCGAAATCACTGTCGGACTCTGAGTGTGTGTGTGCGTGTGTGTGTGTGTGTGTGTGTGTGGTGTTTGCAGCCTGCAGTCATCCAACAGGGCTAGTTGAAACTAATCTTGATATGTTGAACAAGCAAACCGGAGCTCCAGCAGCCTCCCCCCTCCTCCCCCGTCCTCCCCCCCTCCCTCACCCGCTCTGATAAATAATAAACGACCTTTGAGTGGCTCCAATTTATGAGCCGGTGAGAGCGGGGGCCCGATAATGGACTAATTAGTTGTATCTCACATTAACTGATATCGGACACTCGGCTCCTCAATGCTAACTTTTATGTCTGGGATCTGCCCCGGGGGCCCCTGATTTGGGACACCCAAAATGGAGGGAGGGAGGGTAAATGGGGTAATTTTCTGTTCCGGTGAGAGTGGTGGTGGTGGTGGGGGGGGTATTTGGGGAAAAGGATCGACAGCTACTAACAGGTATTTCTGTGTATCAAAGCTTCCACAATCCCCAACGGAAACAAGACCAGAGGAGAAAAAGTGGATTTCAGAGTCTGGTTGTGCAGCAGCAGCAGCAGCGGCGGCGGCGGTGGCGGTGGAGGTAGCGGTGGTGGTGGTGGCGGTGGTGGTGGAGGAGGAACAAGGCAGGGCGGTGAAAACAGGTGAGGCTTTGTTTGGCTGAGTTTCTGAGGTAGATCCATATCAGGAATCCTCTCCCGCTCTGCCTCGCGCTCTCTCCGAGGCAGATCGGTTTACGGCGTGGAGACTTGCTGTCGCCTCTCCTCCGGCTGACAGACAGGCAGGAAGAGAAGGCAGGAGGAGAAGAAGAAGAGCAGAGGGAAAGAGAGGAGCATCTCAATCGGGGGAAACACAACAAGATGGCTCTAAAACAAAAAACAAAAAAAGCCAAAGTGTCCAGGTGAGATTAGATAAAAGTTTTATGATCCCTGAGGGGAAAGTGGGCCGATCCAGCAGCAGAGAACTGGATACTGATAAGAGTCGAGAGCAGAGCAAACAGAGAACGCTGGAGATAATACAGCATGTACAAACAGTAATAAACAGGGTGAAACTACAACAAAAGACTGGAGAAAAGTACTGAAGTGATGTGGAGATAAACCCGAGATAACGTGACCCACAGATTAAAGATGAAGAGGGTTTATGAAAGCTAACAGGTGGAGCAGCTAAAAATACTGTCGGACCACAAAGGACAGAAATCAAGAAGAAAGTACGGATACTCACTGTAGTTACAGCGAATTTTAACCCTTTAAGATCACATCCGCAGTTATATTTTACCTCTATTTAACAATTTAGGACAAAAAAATCCCCCAAAAAACAAATTTCTTTGTATTTTTACAGTAAAATCCAGTCCGTTTGTCTTCCAGTAAAACAAAATGTGACACCAGCCGTCAATCAATCTGCGACTTTAACACAGAGCGAAGATTCAGTAGTTAGCTAGCTGGCTAACAGCATGGCTATCAACCAAACTCCATTCAGAAATAAAGCGTTTTAAAAAGCTGTTTTCTTCTGAATTCAAACTTCACCATCATGATGTCATTATTTCAGCTTCCATTTGATCGGTTTATTGACTTTAAATCACAGAAACATCGGATTATTTTACCGGCTGCAGTGAATATTTGCTTTGTGTTTGGTGGGAACGCACCGTACGAGAGACCATCCCCTGAATGTATCTACCTATAAAGTAAACCAGGTCTTAAACCAGCTGTAGTTATGATCTGCGAGGCAGCAGGACTCGGACCAGCCGGCGTCCTGTGAGGAAGCATGAGGCTGCTAAAGAGGTTAGCGTAGCTGCTAGTTAGCATCAGTTGGATCTGGAGAGTATTTAATCTCTGAAAGAAGAAATTAAGAACCACACTGAAGGTTTTTCTCTCTCCCGATCAGCTTCAGTACGAGTTTAACCACGTTATATGGTTCATTGATCTGATTGGTTGACCCGAGTAGTTATTATCACATCAGAATAACCTGAGCATGAACACACGATAATACGTCACTGTGCTCCTGTAACTTATCGTATTCTTCTAAAAGAACGTACAATTGTAGAGATTTTGACGTATAACTACGAGGAACTCTGCGTCTTTAAGGCGTTCACGGTGATGTAGTGAGAGATGACATAAAGCGCCACACCTTCCTCCTTCCTCTTCGTCTCTGTCGCTGACTGAGGAGTGTTTGTTCTGGAGTTTAATCTCTGACACGACGCCTCGTTCCTGCTCCGACACTGAAAGTAATCCAGTCGGCCTCACAAAGGGAGGCTGGGTGGGAGAGGGGGGAGTCGGGGGGGAGAGAGAGGGGGAGAAAGAAGTAAATCTGAACAGTAAGTGAGAGGTAGAGCAGGTTTGGATAATTAGTCACCTCATTTCCAATTAATTAACGCAGAAGCACACACTTTGTAACCTGTGCTCCAGGTGTGTGTGTGAGTGTGTGTGTGTGTGAGTGTGTGAGTGTGTGTGTGTGAGTGTGTGTGTGTGTGTGTGTGTGTGAGTGTGTGTGAGTGTGTGAGTGTGTGTGTGAGTGTGTGTGTTATATGACACGTTTGCTGAAGTGTTTAACAAATGACATTTCTGTTCAGACACGTCGCCGCCTCCTCGCCGCTCATACCGAAATCTGGTTCCCGTTTCATGAGAATCAATCACGTCGTTACGTTATGACACATTACGGACGTTTGTGTTCTTCAGGGTCGACCGACATTACGTAACTTTTCTACCTTAAAACGAAGGCAGAACAGACCTTTGATTCTCTGCCCAGAACTGCTGCTGAAGGTCGGGCTCGCACGCACAGAATTATATTTCTATGATAAACTTAGTCGTACTGGTGAGTTTTAATCCATATTTTACTTTTTTACCATCAAAATAAAGTTTTGTCGTTTGAAAATACAAAATAAAACGACTTTATTCTGTATAAATTCCTTTAAATGGTGTATAAATAAAGGTTCTGCCCTGAGATATCAGTGCTTTACTGTTACAGAAGCTCAGGGACTTTGTGAGTCCGAACAATGGAAATAGTTTTGGGCCATGAGCCGGACCCGAACCAGAATAAATAAATAAATGTAAAGTTAATTACAAGCTAAGGTAAACTACATTGTGCAAATAATTATCAAAACATATAAAAATGTTCATCTATTAAAAATATTTAAATATTAAATTCAGTTGGGGTCCAATCAGGATCGGACGGAGAATAAAGGCTCTCCTTCGGACCGCTGGGAGGACGAGGTGGAGCGGCGCTGAAATGGGCGCCAGAACCAGAGACGGGCGATGTAACCGGGCTCAGCAGCTTCTGTTGGACAGAACTAATGACGGAGGGTCAGAGGACGCTGACGGACAGACGGCGAGCTGTTGAGTTTGAGGCTGCTTGTTTGATGTTTGATGTCAGCAAAGACGTTTTTTATTATAATCTTGAATTCCACCAGCTGTGGCATCTGTGTGCGGTATTTTATTTTGAAAATCAACTGGATTCTCTACGCAGTTTCTGTGTCTGACTTCCTGCCACGTGCGATCGGCTGCCGGTGTCAATCAGATGTTTTTAACCTTTTAATATCTTTAATATAATTAATAACAAAGTCAACCTAAGTGATGAAAGGTTTTCTCTGTGTAGTGACGAGGACGTAGGAGGATGCTAACTGCGTTTTCACAATAAAGCTCCAACCTTAAACCTTGAATGTCTGGTGTAAAAGCTTCCTTTAATCCCGGCTCGTTCCCCTGAATACTCACCGTCTGACGGGCCGTCATCTTGTCAGCTTGTTTCTCTGCTGCTGTACAAACCTGTCAGGACATCTTCCAGCTGCTAAAACCAGCATGTCCTCCAGCGCTGGCACTGGTCCCAGTATGTCAGCTCACAGGGGCCGGATGAGGAGAGCCGCTCCAGGCAGAGTGACACTGATACCGTGAGCCGCCTCTTTCTGGCCAGATACAGCACAAACCTGCAGAACTACAAACTCTTTATTTAACATGAACTACCAGATGTATGTGGCTACATTCATTATAGGAACATCCTTTAGCTACTTGACTTTTAGCTTTAGCAATGTGCACATAAGCTTTTAATACAAACACATTAACAGTAAAGACTTTTCCCGCTACAGTGTTGTTGTTTTTTGCTATAGTTGTAGTTTCCTTCTTTGTAGTCCACAGAGCAGTAGTCCACCTACTTCCTGTGAAATATAAACACACACTGATCACCAACAAGAGAAAACGTGACGTAAATCTGTCCTGTTGCAGCTTCACACAGGTTTTATTAGCTCTTTATTTACGGACGCTGCTTTGTTCCAGATACGATCTGTGTCTTCTAATAGTTTTATTTATTGGACAAAGAGAGAGAGAGAGTTATCCCCTGGTCCCATCTTCTGTGTTAAGTGCAGGTCGAGCGAGGTTCATCTCCAGCTGATCATCTTACAGAGAGAGAGAGGCCCCGGTCGTGCTCGGACGACCACAGACATGCCCACTCGAGAAAAAAAAACAAGCCTTTTGAGCTCAGACGCAACATGCTTCTATACGTTAGCCTGTTAGCATCCTCATTACGACACAGTGACTGTCGACAGCTGAGAATAAAATCCTTTTCCATTCAGCTTATTTCTGTGTGTGATGTCCTTTCAGCAGATGAGGAGCTGCTTTTATAACCAGCAACAGCTGATTGACTGCAGTGTAAAAATAAAATAAATCACCTGTCGAGTCAACTGTGGTTGTAAAACAGCAGATTTTTTCCCCCTTTAAATCATTCAGCACTCATGTGAACATGTTGGCGTGTTTTATCCGCAGGTTGTGAAACCCAAATCCAGCCTGAATAGAGCTGGTATGAATTAATGAACGGCGTATTGCGGCTCTCCTTTCTGCACGCGGACGATGGTTAAGTCGATTTTGACAAGCAATTAGAAAAAAGGCCCACAGAAATATTTTTCCATCAAAAGCTCCTGATAGCTTAATGGTTGGTAAATCCCGGCCTCCTGCGGGCCGGAGCCAGGTGGGCGGTTCAGGGAGGTGAAAGTCAGGACTGGAGATCTGAACCAGGTCGAGGACTTTAAGAACGTTTATTCAAGCAGCCGAATATTTTGCTTGTACACTGTAAAAGATTTCAGTAGATTTTACAGTGAAAAACTGTCAAACAGTGACAGTAAAAGACTGTAAACTCTAAATAGGTTAAAACACTGATATCTCACAGCAAAGCCTTTATTTATACGGCATTTTAAAGGAATTGATACAGAGTAAATTGCAGTAAATTGCACAGAAAACCACCGTAATAGCTTTCTTTGGTATTTTCATGTGGCAAAACTGTTTATTTTGATGGTAAAAACTAAACAATATAGATTTAAACTCAACAACACTAACATCCTTTTACCGTAATAGTAGAAAAAGTTCTACTGCAACCACAGCTGACAGCAGAGCGGACTGTGTCGTACAGTACAGACGTGTCCTGATATATAATCCACCTACCGACCTAAAAGAGTGCACTAATTACTTTTTAACATTATATGAAACACATATATCTACATATTGTTCTTGTAGTACTGGTTGAAGCACTGCACTGATAATCTCCTGCATTGGGCCTTACGGAGGAAAATTAGCTTTTTAGCTAGCTCCGGCACATTTACTTTGAAGTGTAAACCACAATGTTGATTGATGTGAATTGTCTCTGGTCAATAAATCAATAAATCTGGGAAAAGGTGAAGAATATATTCAGACATACTGTAGTTCATTCCCATGCTAGTAATCTCAGTCCACGGCACCGTGGCCTCTCCTCAGTGTGAAGGGGTCGGCAGGAAGACGCCGCCCGCTGCGGGAACAGGAGTTAAACAGTCACTCAAACCCAACAAAAAATGAACAGTTGAAGTAAGTATTTAAATTGTTGGTCATGTAATTCCAGTTTGATCCACTGACTCATTGTCTTTAAAGTGACTTCACAAGAACATAAGCGCCACTGTGCTGTAAGAAAACTGAGTTTCAACCTAAGTGGTAACATTTAACGTTAAAGAAGATGCATTTTGTTCACACACTTTAAATAAGTTTGGAGAAATGCTGCATGAGTGTATAAATTGTTTGAGTTAATAAACTTGAATGGTTCAATGTAATCGTTTTTACAGGGTACCTGAACTCACCATCCTGCAGGAGGGAAGCGATGATGATGATGATGATGGTTTCTTTATATAATGCACCTTTACATACAGATACTGATTCATAAATACACATAAATCAATCATTAAATAATAATAATAACAATAAGTAGTTCTCTCTATAACACACATAGTTTGTTTGGATTTAAGTTGTATTTTGACTTCATAGATAGACTTTATATACGATGTCCCTGCAGTGAGTTTGTGATTATTCGGCTAAAGATAACTAAAGATAACTAATGCTACTTTTTATTCACATTAAATTCTTTAAAAGTCCCCAAAAACCTCATCAATATTTTGTCGATATTTCCCAGACTACCCTTCCCCAACCTTTTGTTTGTCGGGCCACAGATTGTCTGCGTGTGCTTAACGTTAACCATAGAAATCAACCAACTGACCTCTGCAGGAGCCGGACGCTGTCTCTGCTCTCGGAGTTTCTTTTCTTTGACATTTCTGTGTTTGACTGTGAACTCGAAACAGTCCGACACAACAAAGAAATACACAGAAAAAGCTGATATTTCTCCTTCTCCACTCAGTTTGAAAGCTCCAGACGCTCTGCAGCAATCAGGAAGCGACATTAAACTGTGACACGACCGCCATCATCCCTGCAGGTCTGACCTGTCTGAACACTGTGGGCAGAAAGAGTTCCTCAGTGAGTCTTTACAAACATGGCTCTGATAACAGCAGAGACCTGTTAGGACCTGGACCCACAATAAAGGAAGTATAAAACTTTTATCTCTTCTGGCGGAGTCCGCCATGTTGAACCGTTGCTGTTTCTACAGTAGCCCAGACGATCCAGACACTGGCTCTATAGAGCGTGTACCTCCCACACGCTTTGTTCAGTTGGTTGCAATCATTTACTGCCACATCTGGCTGTTGTACTTTCTATCATAGACTGTATGATTAAAAGTGGTCGGCTCTCGTCTCCTGAAGGTGAAGTTGAATGAAGCCTGAAAACATTGTTACCATCCACTGTTTAGATCTTGGTGCTTTTTAACTCTAGATTTGAACCGGATGAAGGATTTTAGTCATCGGACGTCTGGATCTTAAGTTATCAGAGAAACAAGCTGAGCTAACGTTAGCAGCAGCTCGGCTCGCAGCCCCTCCGGGACGTCCTTTGTCTGTCCAACAGCGTGGGAGAAGCGGTGATTGTTAAGGTGGAACTGCTTTATTCAGTGTGTTTAGTGGTTTTAATCAGCGGGTCTGTTTGTGTTGGAGAGGAGGAGACCTCTGTGGATCATTGGGCTCCCGGTAGAAACCTCCTGAACCATGAACACTGAAGGAATCCTAACCGGGAGAAGCTGACTGCAATGACGCCAATGGTGGTGAAGACAACAACTCCCATGATCCCACGCTGCTTCACCACCATATAACTTTATCTTATTGTTAATGTTTGGATGTGAGAGAGCCCCTAGTGGCAGAAATGACCCACTGTACGTTTGAAGGCCTTCAGTATTGAGGTAAATTCGTGGCTTTAGTATTTCTACACTGTAGTTTTGCTGCTTCCCATCATCCTCTCAGCCTCTCTGTTTTCATATATCAGGACACCTCTCCATGTATTATCACGTACATGCACAGCTCTTTGCTGTTCACACGCAGCACAGAAACATGAAATCTGGGCAGAAGAGAGGCGACTGTGTGTGTTTGTCAGCTGCAGTGTGAACAGAGCTCGACTCTCTGAGGATCCACCAGCAGCCTGATCGGCACTGTGGAGACGCCTGATGCCAAACAGATCAATGACGGTTCCTGTCTGGCCAGGCGGACGCTCCTTCTGGAGAACCAAGTCTTCCATCACAACATATTGAGGGCAACAAACCACCACCCATCACCCCCTCCCTCGCTCCTCCTCCGTCCTCCCCCACAGAGAGGCAGAAAAGGGAAAGTGGACCGCAGACAAAGGCTGGCAGAGAAAACACGGCCGCTCGTCGGAAAAAGGCAGGATTTCAGTTGTGAATGGAGAAGTTCAGACGCGGCAACTGTCACCAGAACGTCCCGTCAAAACCAGTTTATCCAGAAAACGATGAAAGTTTCACAAAAGTGAGGCTCAACGGGGATTTCATAAGAAAATCCAACACGGTGCTGCAGCTCTCCAGCTGTTTCCTGCAGCTGTGGACCCTTTGGTTGGATGAAATCAGGCGTCACATAAAAGCCACTGGGAGAAAGTAACAGATTACATTTAGGTACCAATGTGAGGTACTGCAGATTTTATTTAGGGCGCAAATAAATGAGTAGAATTTCTTCCTCCTGCTAAATGCACTGATCTTCTCATTTATAAAGTATTTTAAACGTGTACACTGTAAAACCTGATGAGTTAGTTTAACTCAAACTTAAACAATTTAGTAACTCCAACAATTTAAGCATGAAAAAACATAAGTATATTACAGTAAATTACACTCTACATTTCTACCAACTTATTTAAAGAGTGTGAACAGAATTTATCAGAATAAAGTCACTTAAATTAATCTTCTTTATACAAATGATACAACTTAAATTTACTCAGCAAATTATTACATAACCTGTCAAAACAGCAGATGAACGATAAAAATCTATTAATCGAT